ATTTTACCGTTGTGATTCCTAGTAATGAGTGTCAACAGCTAAAAAATTATTGAAGTATTTTAATGAAGACTTTAAAAAATTTAAATAATACATTTAGAAAGCATCAATGTTGAAGTTCGTTGAATTACAAAGTTTATGTCCTATCCAACTTCCAATCTATAGTCAAAGTTGACAGAAAGCACAGATCATTGTTTCAATCATTGTACTGTCTCATATATAAATGATACTGTTTTCATCAATAAACGCTTTTGATGAAAAAAAAATCTATAAAAGTTTGATAAAATATAATTATCATTCTAGCTTATTATGCTACTCTAAAAAAAATCAATGAACATTTGTAAATAAATTGCAAATGATGATCTAGACAAGAATGTTACTATTTGCACACGTGTTTGCTTAATGTCTTGTAATATTAAAAATAAATTAGTGAAAATGTATACAGTTTAATCAATGATCAAAGTACAACTAAAACTTGACTGGTATGTTTGACCGTAGATTGTAATTTTTCTGGATACTATTGACAAAAACGGTTGACATTAACACATTAACAACAACTGCCTAATTAAACGAATTTGGTGCACGACCTTTAATTTATTCTATATTGTAATTAAGACTTATTAAAAGTTATTATGAAAATATTATGGAATTCCATAATATTTTCATAATAACTTTAATAAGTCTTTAATTACAATATAGAATAAATTAAGTCGTGCACCAAATTCGTTTAATTAGGCAGTTGTTGTTAATGTGTTAATGTCAACCGTTTTTGTCAATAGTATCCAGAAAAATTACAATCTACGGTCAAACATACCAGTCAAGTTTTAGTTGTACTTTGATCATTGATTAAACTGCATACATTTTCACTAATTTATTTTTAATATTACAAGACATTAAGAAAACACGTGTGCAAATAGTAACATTCTTGTCTAGATCATCATTTGAAATTTATTTACAAATATTCATTGATTTTTTTTAGAGTACCCTAATAAGCTAGAATGATAATTATATTTTATCAAACTTTTATAGATTTTTTTTTCATCAAAAGCGTTTATTGATGAAACAGATCATTTATATATGAGACAGTCATGATTAAACAATGATCTGTGCTTTCTGTCAACTTTGACTATCGATTGAAGTTGATAGACTAAACTTTGTAATTCAACGAAACTCAACATTGATGCTTTCTAAATTTATATTTTAAATTTTTTAAAGTCATTTATTAAATACTTCAATATTTTTCTAGCTGCTGACACTCATTACTAGGAATCACAACAGCAAAATAAACCTTTGACATGTTGAAAAAAATTGTTACGTTTCCATTTTTTTATTTTATTACAATCTGCAGAGTATAAAAATTACTACTGTAACAAGCTCCAGTAGTAAAATAGTAACAATGAACCATTGGTTATGTGTATATTTTGTGTGTATTCGAAGATTATCTTAAATGCAAGTTGTTTTTATGGCTTATTGAATGTCTCTTCTCTTAAATCCTATTAAATGAATTATTAAGTGAAAAGAGCTCCGGGAAAAAGTCATGAGAAAATTCAACAACACCGCAATACTGAATTCTAAAGCCTAGCTCTGTAGTGTAAATCCCATTTGTAACTTAAAGCATTAGCATCGAATGATCTTTTGGTCATTTGAAATCACCAATTAATCATTGTTAGACCACCATTAGAAACCTGGAAGCACTGGAAGGCCGTTTCGTCCTGGTATGGGACTCATCAGCAGTGCGCATCCACGACTCCTGCACATCGAAGGATCCGAACCCGGGACATTCGGTCTTGTGCACGAATGCCTAATCATCGGACCACTGGGCCGGCATCTAATAATTGATTGATGATTTCAAATGTGTAAAAACATGAAGCACTGCCTGGAAATATCGTAACAGTGCTCACTAGTGACTAGCTTCTGCCTGAAAAAAGATCTTTTGGTCATTAAAACTAATCATTTTTTTGATTCATATTATTTTGATACAAACTTCATGATTTTGTAGGGACTTGTACGTTTCTTACAGGTTATACCACTTAGATTACCTTTTAATGAAAGGTTCAATTTTCGGTCTGAAGAAATAATCAGAATAAACTAGAATTATTGTCAAGAAAGGAATATTCGTTTTCTCCCAAAAAACATCAATCTATTCATCTGCAACTAGTAAACGGTTCTGGTAATTATTATGCATCGATCGTTTTTAGTTCAAATTAATCTCATCATTCTTCAAATGTCGTCAACTGAAACTTAACTGAATAGTTATCACATTGCATAAGAGGCTGTATTACACACATAGGTAATACATTTTTACATACATATAACTCTTATAATGTATTCGTTGTAACCTGAGGTTCGTATGTTACATATTATGTTGTAAAACCAGATTGATTAACAGTTTAGGAGTACATTCAGAATGAAATAGAGAGATATCTATTTCAACATTCTCGAGCAATCGAAACATACCGTTTGTTAGAATATCATTTATTTATGTCTTGATTCATACTGACTACACAGTGCTTATACTCACATGAGAAACAACTAAGCAGGTACTCTGTGTTCATCAAATATTAAACAGTCAGAAGAGCTAACATCCTTTGATTAGTTAGGATTTCATTCTTTTATTATAGTTGTAAAGCAAGCTAATAAACCGTGGACCCAAAACTCCAGATGATAAAGATCTGTTATTTGGTATATAACGAAAGTGCTGTACCACGCAGTGTCCGGGAGTTAATACTCATTTTTCATTTTCATATACACGAGATTTATTAGCTACATAGCGAAAAAAACTTAGTGAGAAAACGAATTTATTGACTAACCGAATCGATTGTATGTGTACTCATTCACAGATATATGTCCGTTTGGAAGTACTTTCTTGGTCGATCACGTACACTTAATATTCGACTTATTTTCGATTAGATTAGTGTATCAGAGAACACTTTTAAGAATTTCACTTGTGATATAGTCAATGGAACTTATTCTCCACCTCATTATTCGGTAAGCTTGGTAATTTCAAGTCCTCTTCATGACTCGTTTCTTGTATATCAGTATACAGTTTATTTATGCCGAACAAGAGAGTAGAACTTGACTAATTATTACCTAGTTATAGAAGGATATTTTCTCATGTTCACAAAATATACAGTGACTTGTTTTAATGGTATTTTAAGTTCCATAGACCTTCAGAACCATATTCACCACATGCTTTTTGACTAACTGGTTAAAGTTCAACTTGATTCAGTTGTTCTTAGTTGGCACTGCATCGATCATCTACTAGTTATTATTGATTACTGAATACATTGAATGTTTGTACTTAAATCGCTTCACAATGCTAACCTAGTCAGAAGCTCCTATCTATTTAAAGGAGTCGATGCAATTGTCTTCAAATGGATAAATACTAGATTATTTTAAAATAAGTCATTTATCATAATATAAACCATAAGCTTTGACTGATTGGTCATAGTGAAGTTAAACAAAATGTTTTTTTTTTTAAGAAAATATCTAGCAACTTCCTATAAGGTTACAATAAACTATTAATTCTTAATTTAATTTATTATTCGTTTGATTTAGTCAAATTTCTAAAATATATTTAGCTATATTCATTTCATTTTATCTACATTTTCAAACATTTTTTTTCGATTTCTAAATTGTTCCAATATTCTCATACTTTCAACATACCTTATCCTATCATTAATTAACATGAGATTTTAGTTTCTATATATCTCATCTTTATCTTAAAAGTTTTGCAAAGATGTTTATTTGTATACATTTGATTGATTTTTGAATTCAAACATTTATCAAATTTTATAGGAGATAATTTATTCACATTTTTATTTGCTCAAGTGAATTTCTGAAATGATATGATTCACTTAAAAAAAAATAGAATAAACCACATAAAAAGAAATAAAACTGTTATTATCCGTAAATCCTTTATTTGCTAATACTTCATAAAGCCATAATTATTCCAAGTTTTGAAGAAAAGTTATCGTTTTTTAAAAAAAGATCGTTTGGTTTGTAATCTTAATTACTTACTAGGAAATCTGGTCCTTATGATCATGTCTTCTGTTTTTTAAATGTCCACCGAATCTTACTGTATAGAACATAAACAGGTTAAAATACATCTGTGTAGATATTACTTACAAGCTTGACTTTCCTATTCAACCAAAAAATGCTTGTACTTTAGTTTCCTATAACTAAATTTTTTTTATTTAATATTTAATTTCTGAGTACCTGATTTCATTGTGTTATAGATCATAACCAACAGAAGGGTTACCATCAAAATTTGTTTCATTGCAATCTGGATGGAAAGTTTTATAGACGAATATACTATTTATTGGATAAAGCGGTTCAAAAGACTAAGAATGTATTACATGGTCTTTGTACATCTCAACTTGTCACAGATTGATGACAACAAGTGATTTGTTTAGTTTCTAAACAATCGTCACAAACTGTTGGATGTACAAGCAGGAAACTAAAAACGGTAATACCTTCTTAACATTTTTATTACATATCGCTTCTCAATATGAATAAACAAAGCATGCAGTTTTAAAATCCTACGATAGTTATTGTCAAGCCTTCATTCACAAAATGAATATATTCTCAGTTTTTTTAATTTGAAAAAAAGCAAAGAGATACTTAATGTTACAACAGTTCTTGTATCACCTTGGGGGATATGTGTCGACTGAGAATTATTTGTGGGATAGTAAGTAGGGTTTCAAGTTAAGACAAAACACTTGTTCAGTACCCTCCTATTTTCAGTAGTTGTAAGGTTAACTTCAAATTGTCATGTGAAATGTCTGCAAATTGATTGTAAGTAGACATTTATTTTCTCCCAAGCTGTATTAGTTTGTGGAATTAGTTTTTAAAGAAATTTCAGATATTTTAAGAGTTTATAGTTTATGAAAGAATATCAGCATTCATGTACTTCTAACGATCTGACTTTAGATGATGTAACTAAAAATAATCGTGTAACTGAAGCTTTAATTTATTATATTTGATACAATCTTCAATCAGGAATGATTGCTGCTACTAAAAAAGGGTTACATTATGTTTTGGATAAGAACAGCTGCAAACAAACAGGGAATTTCGTTGTCGTAGTTCTTGGCGGGGCTCCTGAAGCTTTAGATTCAAGACCTGGAACATATGTGATGCATATTAATCAACGTTTTGGATTTTTCAAATTGGCCTTACAAACTGGGTAAGTATTCTATGAAGTTTAGGCAATTTTGTCCAATATTATGTAAACTCTTAATTGGCATGATGCTGCAGAAATTAAATGTTTATTAAATGAAAATTCTCGTTAAATATACTAAATGGCAGTATGATACTTTAAAATCACCTTGGCCTGAATGATTTGACTGATGACTGGACATTTTAGTATATTTTACTGAATCAATCAGGTAATATTCTAATTGTCTTTTAAATACTGCATTTTCAAGTGTCTCACTAGATTTAGGAAGTACACACTCTTAAAAAATATCATGAGTATTTTTAGCAGATTTGAAAACCTTTTTAAAACCTACAACAGTTACTTACATTATTTCGAGATTTAGTTTGACCTGTGTAAATTGTGTTTTACTGCATTAAACTAATATATTAAAAACAGTTAAAGCTTTAAACTCTTCATGTCGATTATTAAATACATTGTACTTCCTAAAACATAGAGATATATCAAAACTATCAGTTTGTACCTTTAAAGATGATTAGTTGTGAGATCATGACTAGTTTTATCTTTCATTACAAAAATAAATAATGCTGTTATACTCAGTAAGCTACTTACAAAAAATAAGTACTACGGTCAATACAAAGTATTTGAAGCACTTTTACAGCACTTTACAGATTTCAATAGGACAGTTTTTCAGATCAACTCTTTCTTCTTATTATTCTATCATATTACATAGTAATTAAAGTTATGAGCAATTGTCGGTGGACATAAGCGGAAGATTTTTTGCCTGAGAACCATTACTTTAAATGAAATTTATGAAATCTGTTTTATACAAACGATTTTCATCAAAGAGTTATAAGTTTATAAGTTAGTCACTTATTCTTCGTTATTACAAATAATTCATATAAATGATTATCGAATGAATGAATCGCTTGTATTTCAACGTACAGGATGATTTAGCAGTGAAAATAAGAATTGAAAAGTATCTTCCAGTTGAAAATACAAATACGTAAATGTGAGTTTCTTAATTTAGTCAATGCGACTTAACCTTGCAGTATTAAATATTTCTGGTATTGGTAAAACCTTTATCAACTGCCACTACTTGATTCCTTATATTGATTGCCTCATGATAAAACATCAGAAAAAGAAACTAAATTGGTTTGTCTAATGTTCTGATTGATAAAAAGTAAGCAAACAAATAGTTTTCGGTATCGTCAGTCATGGACCTAGTATTGTAACGCTTGTACTTTGAATTTGGTTCTAAAATTTAGAGTGGATATACACTGAAATCAAGCTGATTAAGTTAAATGATTTTTGTCATCATATGGTAGTAAATATCTTTCTCAAGTTTAGAATGTTGTTCACTTTGTCGAAAATTAGTAAGTGATGCGGCCTTAAGACTTAGTACAGCTAATAACAGATATAATTATCCTGTGTACTAATAGCTGTGAATGAACTTCTAACCAGTTTACGAATATGTAAATTGTATGTGATTAAGCCATCTGTGAATTGCTTAGAAATATTTTGTCAGTGATAGTTAACAATGACATTTTAGGCTGTTAGTTTCCCAACCGTAGCTGCTACATTGACATGTTGGTCTGGCTTGCCTATCGTGATGACGCAACCAAGCTATATTGGCTGGAACACATGTTTCTGTACGTTTAACCATACCAGGCAGGTCGACTGGAGAATGGTGAGACTAGAAGTAGCAACTCAACGTCCGAAGGCGAGGTCGTACTGTTTACTGTAGAGGGGTGTGACAGCAGTAAGGTGTTTCCCCCGGACAACCAGCCTCTGAAGCGAAGCTTCCTTCTCACAAGGAAGGAAGGGTTAGAAAAGGTCGACCCGATTTAGACAAGAAGTAAAATTATGATTTTGCACAACCGTCATTTTGAAAGCTTATTGAAGGAAATCTTCGTATTGTTTAATTACCTATTTCATACAAATTTTCGACTCACTTAATAGACATTCTAATCGGTAAATTTACACAATAACATTGCTGAGCTTTCTACAATCGCTTACTTGCTTTACTTACTGTGAGTAATTAATTACCTTTAAATTCCTGAAAATCCATCTGTCTGATTGATCTCTAGTCCCTGAAATCACAGGATAAAAACCGCATAATTCTGCTTTTGTCATTTATTCGATGTATTCAAGATGATCTAATTCATACTGAATTATTTTTATCTTTATTGAAGATCATGTTTGGTACCGTGTATATCATTTGGTGAACAAAGCTTATATCACCAAGTTTCAAATGAAAAAGGATCATGGATACGATGGTTACAGGATAAATTTACATCGATTTCTACCGTCGCGGTGCCTATTTTCTATGCTCATGGTCCGTTTCCGTATCGAAAACCAGTTTATACAGTAGGTAGGTTAATAATTACATTATGCAGATCTAGTTTTCAGCTGTTGTGGGAATTTTTGGTAAATGATCATGCACAAATTGTTAAAATTCGGATACTGACTACTCTATCAACTACTGTTTAAGATCTATCTTTTACGCACTATGCATACAGAGAATTCATGAAGTATATTTCTATTAGCATAGGTTGGTATTTTGTTCTAGTTTATTTTTCTTTGATAGCATATGGACCCATCGTTGCTTTAACAACAACTAAGTTTAAATGTTGGTTAGGTGTTTCAAAGCAGCCACCAGTGAGATCTAGAACTAGTGCTCCCTGTTTAACGCTATGAGATTTGAAGCTACGTGTACCAAGTTCGAGTCTCAGTGGACATATGCGTATTTAGACGGAAGTGCACATATATGAGGAGTTTATATCAAATGAAACCCTTATGACAGGTTTTTAAGTGCGCTGTATTCTAAGTCGAGGCTAACCAATTTATGTGGGCTACTTAATGTTCAACGTCGGGCTCACTAATTCTGTGGTTGATGTGTGCTCACCAATTGTCTGGCGGTCAGCATTCGATATATTCCAAAACGTCGTATATTGCTCGTCCTGATAACCGTTATTAGATAACGCCCAATGGTGCGTAAATCAGAAGATGGATAAAAAGAGTTGATTATGATCTTTACAGATCATTATTATCGTTGATCACTCTCACAGAAAATCGACATAGTGCCCTTCAAATGTTCCGTAAAAACGCCTGGTAAACATAACAGTTTACGGCTATTCCCATCAATTAACAAATACAATACAGAATTAGTTTATATAGTTAGTGTTTCAAGACACCTTAGATTAAATAAGAGTTAGATTAAAGACACCATCAGCTAAGGTGCATACTATCATAAACTCGACTAGATCAGTTTACTAAGACTAAGCAATCAGAATCTGCAACTGAAAATTTTAATAATTACAGAAAATAACCTATTAGTATTATATTACATCTTGTTAAAACACTCTTTTCTCACAGTTGGTGCGCCGATTCGATGTGAACAAATAAAAGAACCTACAAACGAACAAGTCGCACATATTAAACAAATTTATAAAGAAAGGCTTCAAATTTTATTTCATGATTACAAGGCAATTTATGATCCAGAAGCTAATGATATTGAAAGTATCTAAATGAATAAGCTATGTAAAAGTTTTACAATTAATTTAAACAAAAATTCCAAAGACCATTTGTTACCTCTTTGTTG